GGGGGGGGGGTGCTCGTGATGGCCGACTATGTGAGAGGTGGGAGGGTCGAAGTTTTGCGTGTCGATAGCTGGTGGGAGCGCAGGTGTGTGTTTGTGTTGTGTGTGAGAGCTGTGAGCAGGGAGGGGATGGCCGCGTTTTGACTGACTTGGTGGGGGGCGGCTTTGCGTGTGCCGCAGGTAAGTAGGCAGGTAGGCAGGGTGGCTGGTGATGACTGACTGACGGCTTGCTTAGTTGGCCTGGTAGCGCTCACACGAAGCGGCTGATTGGTTGATGAGTGGATGGATGGATGGATACGTACACACTCCCTCCCTCCGTTCGTGTATGCAGACAGACAGACAGACAGACATGGCGCGCTCTTTTTGTAGTTGCTGACTGGCTGATGCAGCTCTCCAGCCAGACAGCCATCCCCACATAGACCAGGGATGGATGGATGGATGCCCCACACGCCCATACAGGCGCCATAGCGACTGACAGGCAGACCGCTGCGAATTGTGTCGGCCTGCTTCGGTGCTTGCCGCCACGCACACACACGCACACACACACATAGATGGGAAGGATCGATGGGTTGCCATGCCTGGGCCAGTGCGTACACAGACAGACAGACAGACAGACAGGGAGGGAGGGTCTCATTAATTATCACTATCTATGCATCATAAATACGCTCCGGACGTGGCCCCAATTCAATTCGTCAGCCCAGTCACATCTGCGCGCATTCACCGCCCTGTCCTGTGATCTTTTTCGTTGTGTCCACGGATGCCTGGCTGCGCTGCATGCTGTGGGTTTTAGAGGGACAACATCACATCCGGGCGCCGGGGGGGAGGTGTCTACTGCTGGGAGCCCGGGAGGAAAGGGAGCCGCCAAGCACCTGGCGGGCAAATGGATGACACTCAGGGGGACAGCTGTATGTGTGTATGTGTGTGTATGAGTACGGGGCTGCACAATTCAGAGTGTATAGTATGTATGGCTTTCGGCCGGCGTGGTTTTCATTGCCTGCTGGGAATGGCAAAAGCGCTAAAGCGCTATTTCCGGTGACAGACAGACAGACAGGTTGGTGGCTCGCTGGACATTCACGTGATTTGCCGCATACGTATGTATGAACCGCACTCATTCACTCATGTAGGTCGAGTCGAACATGAAGCCAAGTGACATGGATCCCTCCACAAATTCCTCCCATCCATAGTGCGCACACACACATTCACACGCGGTGTGTCTGGCAGCTACCACCTTCCCTTCCACCCCACCCCATCCCTTCCTTGTCCCCCGCTCTGTCCCTCCGTCCGTCAGAGTTTGTCTAGCAGGCTTTTGACTTTGTTGACGTCCGTCTTGGAGACCCTGCCACTCGCCCACCCCTCCAAGGTCTTGATGACGTGCGCCCTCCGCTGCTTGAAATGCGCCTTCACCACCGCCGCAAACTCGGGAGGGGGGTGCTGCACACACCACACATAGACACATACAGGGATGGTGTGTCTGATGTCTGCCGGGAGGGTATGTCACCTGGAGTGTCTCGAGGATGGCGTACTTGACGGTGCCACAGCGAATGTTCTCGTTGTACCCAGCAGACGCCCTGCACACAGACAGCACACACACACACACATACACCCACAATGCACACCTGTGGTGCAGTCAGTGCTCCTTTGTTCCTCATTGACGAGAGCTTACTGCTGGCCTCTGGGGGTGCCCATCTGGCTCTGGTAGCCGGGCTCGTTGAAGTAGGGATCAGCTACGAGAATCAAACTCTGCAGCGATGCACACACACACACAGGGAGTCAGCAGTGAGCCGCCCGCCCACCCAGTCAGTGAACATCTGTCCGTGTGCGTGTGTGGTTTGTGTACCTGGATGGATACCAAGACCTGCAGTGCTTTGGACACCTGGGGGTCCCAGCCCTCACCGGCACCGCCCGCCCATGTGCCCAGCAGACTCAAACACACCTTGCCACACTCGTCTGAAACCACACAAACACACAGCAGAGGGCAGACAGATGCCTGTACACACACACACGAGGCGAGCCGTCAGGTCAGCTTACATAGGTTAGGGTTGAATCGGACTTTGCCGCCGCCAGTGGTCCGCAGCAGCACTTGTGGCGGCCCCGCCGGGTACTGAGGCAGGGAGGAAGCAAAGACACACTTGGTTGAGTTGACACAGATCAATGGCCGCGTCTGTGTGTGTGTGTATGTGTGGACCTGTGGCGGGAAATAGATGTCGAAAACGAAGCAGCCCGAGTCGTACGGCGTGTCTGCATGCCAACCAGAGCAGAAGACCGACCAACGAGAAAATATATGACTCACTGACCCAAAGCCAACACAACACGCATGTGCCGTGTCCCCTCCGCCCCTCTCTCTCTCTCTCTCTCTCTCTCTCTCACCTTCTGGACCGGTAATGAGTGCCCTGATAACACACACCGACACCGCAGCAAGGCAAGCGACACACAGTGATGTGATGTGATGTCGTGTCGGTGATTTACAGTGACAGTTGCCCGTCTGTGTGTCTCTTTGGTCACCCACGTACCTCCAGAGAGCCGTGTTGGTGTTGTCAAATCGCACGAAGACCGACGAGGATGTGAAGCATGGGAGGAGGGACGGCAGCCCGCCCATCTCGGTGGCCAGACGCATCTGACGCCTTGGGGGGTTGGCACTGCAATGAACCCATATATACGCACACCACACACACCAAGGGACATGTGTGTGTGTGTGCGTCTGTGTGGTTACCTCCTTACTTACCGCTCCTGTCGACACTGGTTGGCATAGAGGTGGTTGTGCATGATGTCATAGCTATCCACCAGGTGGCCCTTCATCAACTGCTGGTACTCCTCCTCCGTCGGCTCGCTACCCCCCGCCCCTCCTCCAGCTGCTGCACTCGCACTAGCACTAGCGCTCTCGCCCTGCCCCCCACTCCCACTCCCAGCCCCCGACCCAAAGCCGAACCAGCCCTGGTTCTTGCGCTTCCTGCCACCCACATTCGCACCCTTGCCGCCACCCTCTGGGTCATCCCCCTTGTTCAGGCGTGACGATTTCCTCACTCCCGCGGCCTTCTTGCGGCCGGGGGAGCCGTCAGCCGCCGCCTCGGATGCGCCGGCCGGGGCTGGTGGGTCCTTGGCCTTCGGGGTGGGCATGTGGGGCAGCAGGTCGTCCAACACGCTGATCACCAAACCCGCAAACTCCCTTGACACACACAAACCAGTCACACACACACACAGATGGATGCAGTTCATGTTTCTTCAGGCAGGTGTGCTGGCATACTTGTAGTTAAGTAGCTGTCGCTTCTCCTGCTCATTGAGCTCCGCTGGTGCGGCAGCCGCTGCTGCTGCCGCTGCGTGTGGCCCATATGGCCCGTATGGCATGCCCCACATGTTGCCCCCCATGAATGGGGGCTGCATGTTGGGATGGAAGGCGTATGGGGGTTTGGGCACGGCGGGGGCGGCCTTCTGCTTCTTGCGCTTCTTCTTCTTCGGGACATCTTCACCTCCTGCCGCTGCTGCCACTGCTGCTGCTGCCGCGGCGGAGCCTGCAGCGTTGTCCTCGGCAGGCTTGTCGTCGGCCTCGAGACCCTTGACACTCTTGTGGAAGATGGAGGCCCTGACAAAGGGAAAGCAATGACCAAAACAGCCAATTTGTGCTCTGTGTCTTCTGTGTCGTGTGTGACGAGGGGGGGAGTCTTACTCTGTCTTGAGGGACTGGATGGCGCGCCAGAGGCGGGAGTCCCATCCCTCGACAAACTTGGAGAGAGAGGCCAGCGATTTCATCATCTGTCAGCCGATCGGTGAACACACACAGCAGACGGAGGGGAGGAGAGGGGAGGGGAGGGGTCCGTCCATCTCCATTCCATCCCTGTGCAACCAGTTTGTCACTGTCTGTCACCTGAAAAACAGTGTAGTAGAAGTCAATGCGCTCGCACATCTCGGTGAAGGATATCTTCAGCCAGTCCGTCAAACACGACTCCAAACCAGACTTGCTCCTGCACACACACAATACACATGTGCACCAACCAACCAAGCAACCAACCACACAATCACTGACTGTGATGACGGACACAGACAGGCGTGTGGGTGGCGTGTGTGCGTCGTGAATGAATGGACTGACAGGTTGGACTGTAGTCTCTCCAGGGGGTCTCTTCGCGGCTTGGCCAATGCTGCAGAAGACGACGCAGCAGCAGCAGCGGCAGCGGCAGCAGCAGCAGCGGGCGCCGGGCCGTCGGCCGGGCCCGCCATTTCCTCATCGTCATCGTCGAGGTCCACGACGTCATGGGCAGCGGCGGGCGCATTGGCGCCACTGCCAGTCTCCGACGCGGCCGCCGACTCCTCGGCTGTCTTGGACTTGAGCTCCTCTATCACCGCCGCCAATCCTATCAAATGCTGCACACCAGAGAGAACGACATCAGGCGATGTGTGTCCTTTCCTGCAAGGCCCTGCAGCATATATATTTGCTTACTGTGGTGATTTGTGTGTCGAACTCCTTCTGGCGCTCCTCGGCCTCCTGCGCGTTCCAGATCTTCCTCTGGCCGTGCGCCAAGTCGGAGCCTGACACGACACAACACAGCCACCCAGCAAGGCAAGCACACCAACAACACGACACACCCGCGCAGCGTCATTTGTTGTGATGGTCTTGGCCAACGTAGATGATCAGCCCAGCTCGCTCACCGTATCCGACGCCCTTGGGTTTGCCCTTGATGGGTGCCCCTCCCCCCCACGCCGGCGGAGGCAGCGGCATCTCCTCATCGTAGTCGTCCTCATCGCCATAGTCGTCGTCATCATAGTCGTCACCACCATGGTACGGCAGGGACTTGTAGGGCTTCTTGGCCTTCTTGGGCTTGGCCCTGCTGGCGTTGTTCCTCTTCTTGCCGGCCTTGGCCTTGCCGTCGTCCTTGTTGCCGTTGCCATTCTGCTGATCACTCAGCTCCTCTATCCTCTCCAGATGACTGCAACCACACACACATCGACAGAGGCGCTGTTTGTGTGTTGAAATGCTGGCATTCGTGTGGTGGTGCCGTCACTTGAAGCAGCGTACGTGTAGAGGCTGCTGTAGAGTGCTGCCCTACTGGTCGGCATCGGCTGCGGTGCTGCAGGCGCACCGCCGCCAGGCACATCCTCGTAATCGTCAAGATCTATGACGTCAGCCATGATTGGAACGGACAAGAAATGCGATGCTATCTCACGCACTGTGTGGCCCTTCGCGTCGAGGCACCTCAATCGATTCAGCGCCAGTGGATTCAGCGTTCCGTTTACACCCTTTCGACCCAAGTTGAGGCGAATGTGCTTCCGCTCAAAGCGAATCGACTCCGCCCATTCAATCGTCATTGTATTGCGTCCAGTGCTCTCACAGCCATCGTATCGTCGTCTTCATTGCAGCATCTCACTGCAATCTCTCTCCCTCGCTATGTATCATCGCATCACGCCCCAGTCGGTCACAGACAGAGCACATTTCGCATCACCACACCACACGCCATCCGTCCAGTGGCCTAGAAGGTGGTCTCCGGGCGGGCCTCAGCCCGTTTGTACTTGCCCAAGTCGTCCGGGATGGCCTCCAGCGGCTTGAGCTCAGCCGAGATGCCCTCGTTCGCCAGTGCAATGTACTTGTTGAAGGCCGCCTTGCCTTCGCTCCACGCCTCGGTCGCCCGGGTCTTGGGCGGCCTCTTGTCCTCAGACTTGCCGCCGCCGCCGCCAAACAAACCGGCAAACAGGCCGCCAGAGGAGGCAGTCGACTTGCCACCCGACGCAACGTTGATCTTGTCCAGAGCTGCACCATGCATGACACAAGACGACACAGGTGTGATGACAGGCAGAATCAACCAGGCGTCGTGATGCGTGTGGTGTGTTGGTGTGTACCGTCCTCAAACTCTTTAGCGATGGACTGAAGCTGTTTGGTTCGGTCCCCCGTGCCCTTCTCGCTGAAGCTGGTGCTCCAGATCTCCATTGGCCGGGTGAGGTAGTAGCTGGCGTAGGTGTTGTCGTTCTTGCGCACCTCGAAGAACGACTGAACGGCCTGCCAGTTCTCACTCTCTATCGCTGGCCGCAAATCCAACACATACATGTCACGGCCCTGACACACACACAGATCAACGACAGACAGACAGACAGACAGTTACTGTTGCCCGCGTCTGAGTGTGCCGTGCCACACTGCCTGTATGACCTTTTCTATCCTCGGAACGTATCTGAAGTAAGATCTCTGCACAATCACACACACACACACACACACACACACACAAACACACACAGGCCCAGCAGCTGTCATTGAGCATCCAATGGGAGGCACACATGCCTGCCGCGCCCTGCGTGTGTGTACCTTTGCGCTCATCAAGTCGATGTCTGCCGCTGCGGTCGATGGGCCGGCAGCCAGGCCGAGCAGGGAGGCTGCTGCGATGGCTGTCGTTGAGTCGGCATAGTCCCTGCGGGAGATCTTGTCGACAGCCGGCCGCCTCTCCAGTGTGCTCATCATCACGCCATGGTTCCGCAGAGCGAAGCCCTCGGCTGACAGGCCGCACGAGACCACGATGGCAAGTGCAGGCAGGCAGAAATTCATGGCTGCCAAAGGGAGCGGCGTTTGCGAGCTTGAAGCCATTTGTAAGGTTTGAAGAGGGAGATGGCAGAAGAGCACAAAGAGGGCTCGATGCCTGACGCACACGCAAGTACGCCACCTTGCCAGATCCGCCAGCAATTCCATGCATCTCACGTGGACTGTGGATCTGTTGGTGTGCGCGTGTGTGTGCGTGTGTGCAGGTTTGAGTACGCTTCGTGCGTCGCTGGAGGAGAAGCAGTGCCGGCTGGAGGAGAAGCAGCAGAGCCTCGAGAAGAGCCTCCAGGAGTTCAAGGCCAGACAGGAAGCCGCACTCGCAGGTCCGAAAGAGAGTGAGAGATGGACACTGCCGCGTGGTGCATGTGATGTGTGCATGGCTATGGACGTGTGTGGTGGTGTACAGGTCTGCGGCAGCAGATGGACACCGTATACAAAAGCCTGGAGGCGCTCAAGGCGCAGGTCTGGCCAGACAGACCCCATCGCACAAAGGACAACCACCTGTAGAAGATTCCGATCTCCACCCTGGATGGATGTGACTGTATGTGCTCAGGGCGTCGACACTCAGCGTGCTGCTGCGCTGCTGACGTCGACTGACCCTGGGTCGAGCGACGGGGGACCGTGTTCGTCGTCGAGCGGCAGCAGCTCCACCGAGCAGCGGGACGACCACCCCATCACACCAAACACCACCACGACAGGCCATCGGCAGCCGCAGGAGGGATCCATTGGCGAGCGGTCGGTGTCCCTCACCTCACCGCCCCTCACACACGCACAGGCGGCGCAGACGAGGGCAGCGACGGACGAGGCCATCAGGGTGGAGCAGGGTGCGGCCCCTGGCAACACCACCATGATGACCTCATCAGTCCCCATGATGGCCGCCGTCCCGCCGCTCCCACACCAGCAGCAGCAGCAGCAGCAGCCATGGGACGCCATGATGGACCCCCACAGCCCGCCCCTGACGGCGGATGTGATGGGCCAGATGTCAGGGCGGATGATGATGATGCCGCAGCAGGCGGGCGGCATGGGTATGGGCATGGGTATGGGTGTGCCGCTGTCGCCCGCCGACTGGTCGCCGGCCCTGGAGAGGGAGATCAGGAAGAACCTCGCACGCACCGTCGCTGAGGGCACCAACCGGGAGGTAATGCACACCACACCTCGACGATGAGCGCTCATCCACATACATACACGTGTGCGTGTTTACTTGCTTTGTCAGGAGTTGGCGCTTCTGTGCGCCATGAGCCGTCAGCCCGGTGGGCAGATGATGCCTCCGATGATGGACCCCACCACGGCCCCCACAGCGTACCCCCCGATGCAGCTGCCGCCGGCCGAGCCGGGCGTCGACCTACGCGGCATACCGCCACACCTCGCCAAACAGGTCAACCATCGGCCACACACACCTTACCCCAATGGGCCACCCACATCAATGATCTTTGACGCATAGTTGGATGCGTGTGTGTGTGTGTGTGTGTGGCTGCAGATAGCGCCTCCCCGTTTGTTTGATCAGTCCCAGGGCTCCCATCTGCTGGCCACACAGGTCGTGGCGCCACCACCCTCATCCGCCAAGCTCAACCTCGTAACCCACCGACACCCTGCCCACCCATCTGTCTCGACGCTCAGTATGTGTGTGCGTGTATGTGTGTCAGATCCCGAAGCATCAGCGGAAGGACAAGCCGTTCCTCAACAACAACACCACCAGCAGCAGCAGTGGGGACCAGGCCAGCGGCAGTACGAGCAGTGGTTCTCCTCCCGTCACAGCCCAGGCGGCCCAGTCGTCCCCCTCGCAGAAGGCTGAGACGGTGGACGCCGAGCAGATCATCTCGCTCCTGTCGAAGCTCGGAGCACGCACCGACACAGACAGAGCAACTGAGTAGCCCGCCCATGGATGTGTGTGTGTATGAGATGGGTGGGTGGGTGGGAGAGAGGGGCGGGGGCAATGCATTGGCCCGGACAAGGTAGCCAGGGAGGTACGTGTAGATCTGTGAGTGAGTGTGTATGTGTGTGGGTCGCTAGGGCGAGGAGAGAGGAGGGAGGAAGGAAGGACAACGCGTCTTAAAGAGTTTGTGTGTGCAGCGGTTAGTGTGTGGTCAGCCACCCACCCATCCATCCACCCGGTCATGTCAGCATGTCCATGTGGCATGGATGCAGCCAGAAGGAACGGACGGCAGCGTGTGTGTGTGTGGTGTGTGTGTGGTGTGTATGTGTGTGCCTAATGCATGTAATGTCCGCCCGCGTAGGTAGATAGATAGCTTTTGGCCCCGGCCATAATCTTTGTCTGTCTAGTTGTACATTCATCCCATCCACCTGTCTGTCAATCATGTGCATGGCCAGTGTGTGTCCCTGGCTGCTTTCTGCCTGTGTCGGTCTGTCTAGTAGTGCCCTGCCTGTCTGTCTGTCTGTCTGTCTGTCTGTCTGTGAACCAAAGCTCATTCCATCCCTAGTCAATGAGATGTGCATGAGCGAGTCGGGTGAGTTAACGAGTGAGCCGCCGTTGATCAGTATGGGTGCAGCTGCTGATGTGATGGTTGACTGGCGTTTCACCAAGGAGCTGCTTGGTCGACGCCAATCATGTCAGCGACGGTGCACATATTGAGAACGAACGACCTCAGTGGATTAAGTAACAGACCATCAAACACTGTGTTGAGACCAATGGTTTGTGTTAGGGTCGAGAGCACTAAAACCCGACGAAGGTGGAGGGCAAGGCGCTGTGGAGAAGGAGCAACTACTGGCGGCAGGCGCCGACACCTCAACAAACAAAGCAGATCTGCTTAGAAGCGCATCCTGGTGAAGCGGGGATCTACCTTCCTGCCTGCTGGTGTGGTTTTCGACAGACACCTGTTGGAAGAGGAACCGTCATTCCTGAGAGAGGTGTGATGCACACACGCACACACAAACACACAGACCTTCTGCACCATCGCCTTTCTCTGCGTGTGTTTCTGCAGCAATTCTCTGGTCTCCAGCGGCTTCACCAGAGTTTGTGCGGTGGAGACTGATTGTGACGTGTCGACGGTCACTGTTAGTCAATGCATCGTAGTGGCAACATGAGCAGTGAGCAGCGTGAGTTGCTTCCCTACCACACTCACGCCGGCCACTACTCTGCGGGCGGACCACACACGAGCACCGTCGGCTTCTACGGCAAAAGCGAAAAGGCCAAGGAAACCGACATCGAGAGAATCGTCCGCACGCACGCACACACGATGGACTGACTGGGTCGGTGGGTTGTCATGGTGTGGTGATTGTGTGTGTGCGTTGCGTCAGGTGTCGGCGTACAATGCTTTGGACCTGCCGGCTCGGTCGACGCTGACTATCACGGTGACGGGCGGGTTCTTCGGCGTCTTGTTCCTGCTGTGGCTGATATGCTCCGACTTCGCCATATTTGTCGTCCTGGCGGCCATACTCATCGCCATCGGCGCCATCCTCTTCTCACTATGGCTTCTCTCATGGCTCAGTGCATTCGACGAGTGAGTGAGCAACGAACCAACCACACACATGCACACGTTGTAATGCCTTTGGATGGCCTGGCTGGCTGACAGGGGCACGGTTGCGATGCGCGAGGTGTCCGAGCCCATTCGCGAGGGCGCTGAGGGTTTCTTTGCCGTGCAGTACGGCACTATCGTCAAGATATCGTTTGTCTTCACGTTCGTCATCATCCTCATCTACATGGCCAAGGACAGCAACGCCGGCCCTGGCGAGATCCAGTACCTCTCCACCTACGGCATCGCATTCCTCACAGGATTCACTTTCATCGTCGGCGCACTCTGCAGCGCACTCGCGGGCTACTCCGGCATGTGGGTGTCCGTGCGGGCCAACATCAGGGTGGCGTCTGCTGCACGAAGGTGCTACAACGAGGCGCTGCAGCTGTGTTTCAGAGGCGGCGCCATCAGCTCAGTCGTCAACGTCGCCCTCGCCGTGGGTGGCATCTCAACCATCATCCTCTTCCTGCGGATCTTCCTCCCGGCGATTCCCTTTGTCCGGCTGCCGCTGCTGATCGTCGGCTACGGCTTTGGCGCGTCCCTGGTGGCCATGTTTGCGCAGCTGGGGGGCGGCATCTACACCAAGGGTGCAGACGTGGGGGCCGACCTGGTGGGCAAGGTGGAGGCCGGCATCCCTGAGGACGACCCCAGAAACCCCGCCGTCATCGCCGACCTCGTCGGCGATAATGTGGGCGACTGTGCGGGTCAGTGTGCGGATCTGTTTGAGAGCATCGCTGCCGAGATTATCAGTGCCATGATCCTGGGAGGGGCCCTGGCCGACGAGGCCAAGCTGCCGGACGCCGCCGCGGCAGGGTTCGTGTTGTTCCCCCTGGGTGTGCACTGCATGGACTTGGTGACGTCGTCGATCGGCATTCTGCTGGTGCGGACCAAGAAGGGCCTGCCCGACGCAGACAGCGCGGCGGGGGCCCCCGAGGACCCTCTCAAGATCATGATTCGCGTGTACATGGTCACGTGCATCATGAGCATCGTTGGCTTCGCGGGACTCTGCAGGTCAGTCAGCTCACACCACCGCACCCCACACACTCATCCATCCATCCATCCGATTGGGTGCATGTAGGTATTTTCTGTATTTCGAGGACCAGCCAAGGGCGTGGCTGCACTTCTCGGGGTGCGGTGCTGTGGGGATGGTGTGCGCCTTCCTGTTTGTGATCATAACGCAGTACTACACCGACTACGAGTACCCACAGGTCAAGCGCATCGCCGAGGCCTCCCTGACAGGCCCCGCCACCAACATCATCGCCGGCATATCGGTGGGCATGGAGAGCACAGCACTCCCTGTGATTTGCATCTCCGTCGCTGTCATCATCTCCTACTACCTCGGTCAGTCGGGCACGCACGCAGGCAGGCCGTGGGCAGACACCGACTGAGTGCTGTGTGTTGTGTGTAGGTGTGGGGACGGAGATCTTAGGCACGGGCAAGACGATGGCAGGGCTGTTCGGGACGGCAGTGGCCACCATGGGGATGCTCTGCACTGCCGTCTTCGTCCTCAGGTAAACACCCCTCCTCCCACCAAGCAACTGATCCATCTGTCTGTGTGGCATCCATCCATCCATCGGTCAGCATGTCGAGTTTCGGTCCCATCGCCGACAATGCGGGCGGCATCGTCGAGATGAGCCAACAGGACGAACAAGTCAGGTACAACGAAACAAACCAACGGACGGACAGACACACCCTGCCTGTCTTAATTCGCTCGCACCTCACCTCTGGCCCTGTGTGTGTGTGTGTGTGTGAATGTGCAGGGCCATCACCGATCGTCTGGATGCTGTGGGCAACGTGACCAAGGCCAACACCAAGGGCTTCTCAGTCGGCTCCGCGTCACTCGCGTGTTTCCTCCTATTCTCTGCGTTTCTGGACGAGGTGCGCGCCGGCAGACACCGCAAACATTGGTGTGGACCTATGTGTGGTGTGGGTGTGGGTGCACAGGTGACGGTTTACACGGGCAAGACATTCGAAGTGGTCGACCTGGCCCAACCTGAAGGTACCTACGCCCCCACACTCAACCAGATGTTCCTCCTCCTTCTTATGCTATGCGTGTCTGTCTGTCCGGGTGCGGTGCATGTGGCTGTTCTGTTCAGTGTTCATAGGGGGGCTGATCGGGGCGATGATGGTGTTCCTCTTCAGCAGCTGGGCAATGGAGTCGGTCGGCCGGGCCGCACAGGAGGTCGTCAAGGAGGTCAGGAGACAGTTCTCAGAGTGCCCCGGGATCATGGACTTCGCCGAAAAACCTGACTACCACAGTAAGTACGCACATACGATCCAGACGTCCGCACGCCACTCAACTCGTGCGTGTTGCTCTCATGGCTGCAGCATGTGTGGCGATAGTCTCCCGTGCAGCGCTGCGTGAGATGGTCAAGCCCGGGCTGCTCTCCGTCCTCTCGCCATTGGCTGTGGGATTTGTGTTTAGGTACATTCGGGACGTATGCATAAACCATACACACAGGTGTCCATGGCTGCCTGTCTGTCTGTCCTTGATGCAGGTTGCTGGGGTCGTATTGGAATAAGCCTTTCCTCGGTGAGCCACCCGACGGCATTGACAGCCCTCACAGTGCTGGTCAATTAGTGGCTTGGTTGTTGCTTGTCTGTCTGTCTTGGTGCCTGCAGGTGCGCAGGTGATTGCGTCCTTTCTCATGTTCAGCACATCCACCGGTGCGGTGGGCCACAGAGAGAGGGAGGGGAGAGGGGGAGAGCCTTTTTGCCATACATGTGTGTGTGTGTGTGTGTGTCATGTGTGTAGGTATCTTGATGGCGCTGTTCCTCAACAACGCTGGCGGCGCATGGGACAACGCCAAGAAATACGTCGAGACAGGTGAGGTGCGGAGCCGTTCTGTCTATCCAGTGTGTGCACTCGTATGGATGTGATGTGCGAATGTCTGCGTATGTTATGTTTAGGTGCGCTTGGCGGTAAGGGCAGCGACACCCACAAGGCCGCCGTGGTGGGCGACACAGTGGGAGACCCATCAAAAGACACTGCCGGTAAGCAGGGAGATTCATATGGTGGACGTATGGACATTCTGGTGTCTTGGTATGGTGTGCAGGTCCATCGGTACATGTGTTGATCAAGTTGGTGGCCACGGTCACGATGGTGCTCACACCTGTGTTCGTGTCGTCGGCCACCGCGGGGGATGCAGCAGCCGCTACAGCAATCACAAGATAGACAAACAGAGAGATGAATGGCCGGCCCTGCCAGCACAGATGGATCAAGAGAGAGGGCGGGGCGAAGGGGTGGCATGGCAGGTGGCTGGCTGGGTTTGTGCGTCCGGCCGCCCACCATTGGAAGGAAGACGTATTTGTGATCGAATGGTGCATTCATTGATGAAGGGATGATGAAGGGGTGGACGGATGGTACACTCACAGTGCTGACGTGCTTCACGTGCATGAATTAACGCGTCGATGGGTCTGGGTGTGGGTGTGGGTGACATGGAGTTGCCTTGACGGACAGACCATTCATTCACTCGTGAATGAAGCATTGATGGACGATCTGATCTACATGTATGGAAGCTGTGGAATGTCTGTCTGTCACTCGCCAACCAGCTGGGACACCCACGACTCTGTGCACAAGCAGGGAGGCGGCATCTCCTCCGGAATGCCGCCCGTGCCATCGCGCCGAACCTGCGCACCACAACCGCAACAGAACAAGCACCCCTCGTCTGCCGCATATACCGGATTGTGTGTGTCTAGGTGTGTCTCCCTGCTCTAACGTACTGGGAATGGTGTGCGGGCGGCGAAGATGCGCTGGGCCTCTGCGCTGATGGGCAATGCAAGGACAGGCGGCTGGGCCGCCACCCGTCCCCCTCCGCCAGCCGGTGTCTCGCCGCCTGCGTGCAACAGGGCCGCCTCGTAGTCGTCAGGTCTCTTGGCCTGGGGTGTCTCCGTCTCTTTCGGGCGGGTGTGCGGCACTGCTGGCATGCTGGTGGACGGCCCCTTCTTCTCCCGCCACACAGTCATCGGTCCCTTAGCCGCCTTGCGACTGTGACGGGCTCCTCTGCTGTTGGCACTCGTCTCATGCCGCCACAACAGCTGCCTCCCCTCGCTCTTGTCCCCCTCCACGCTGTAGGGGGAGGAGATCTGCCCCGGTTCCCTGCTCTTGTGGGGCGATCGCTCCCTGCCCCCCTCCCTGGTCGCCGTCGGTATCGTATCCTTGCGTGTGGACTGGGAGGGGGCGGCTGTGTCGTTGAGTGTCTCGGTGCTGCTCGGTGTGTTGTCGGTCTGCCGGAACATCTTCAGGTTGGGCATTACGGCACGGAGGACCTCCAATGACACGGGCATCATGGACGGGCAAGTGCTCGGAGGGAAGACAGATGGAACACACACCTGACGCGGATGGCGAGACAGACAACACAACGCAAATCAGGGTCAAACCGACGGCCAAGGCGTCCATCCTGCGTACTTGGTCTGCGGGAGTTGTTGCAAAGCTGACGGACGACCCCATCATCGGCTCGCCAGGCGGCCCCTGTCCCTCTCCCTGCCCCTCTGCAACACCCACCACAACGGTCGGCACTTTCTGCTTTGCCATCCACCTCAGGGTCTTGCCATTGTTGCAATGGTTGCGGCTGGTGGTGGTGATGGTTGTGCTGCTGCTGCTGTTTGTGCGACACGGCAATGGCAGGTTGGGAGTGATGAGACCCGTGGCGGCAGCGGGCGAGGGAGAGGGAGTAGTGGGTGTTTTGAGGTGCTTGAGAATCTGCTGATGGAGCAGCCCTGCGGTCTGCATCTTGATGGGTACGAGATCCGTCACCTCAATCGCGGCCTAATGGCACCATCCATCCATGGCACAGACACATCCAGCCACGCGTCTCTTCTCCCATCGGCCAGCGCACCTTGCACGCCAAACACGTCATCCGCCCGCCGCTCTGTGGCTGTTGGAGCTTCTTGTCGATGCACACGACGTGGTAGGTCGCATCGCAGCACTTGGCTCGGCAGATCTCCCGGCCCGCCTTCTTGTACTCGGCCATCCCCACCACGACGTTGCTGGTCTGTGTGTGTGTGTTGGTGGATTGGCACAAAAGGCAGAGGGGCGGCGGCATGGTTAGGAAGGGGTCCTTGAAGAAAGGGCTGCGGTGATGCGAAAACCCTCCGGACTCCGTTTACAAGACTCGTTTACCATCCCCCAGACTCGTTTCTGACCCGAAAGTAGTAGTGCTCTGGTCGCAGAACCGCCCGTTTGTACAAACGTATGTTGACTCGGACAGACGTTGCAGATATACGTGTAGTGTCTCTACCTACCGATGTCTCCCACTGCACGCGTCGCGCCTCCACAGTACAACACTTACAAGACGGACGTTTCCCACGTTTACAAGACGCGAGCTCCACGAACCGAACCTGCAACCTTTCTGCTTTGTGCGGTGTGGCTTCTGCAAAGAGGAGAGGAAACCTGAGGAAACCCACACAGGCTGCCTCTTCAGGTTTCCTCTCCTCTTTGGCCTCTTCGACCGCTCCAGCGCCTCTCAGTGAGACGTCTGCGCGGAGGTGCTGGCGTCGATGGCCGGAGATCTGTCAATCTTATGAAGTTTTCTATCTGGGTGACATGACTCATTAGTCGGCGTCACATCACACACAATCGATGCACCCACAATACACACTGACCGCGTCAATCAGCCCCTTTATCGGTCCATCCATCTGTTCTGGCTATGCGGATGAGATAGGGATCATGGCGGCCTCGCACCTCCTCAGCCCCTGGCGCACCTTGACCGCCACTTCAGCACGCTCACACTCGACCTGTCATGAATGGGTCACCAACACACACACACACACACACACACACAAAGTCAGTACAATGCATGCCCACGAAAAAGAGCCCCCCGTGCTGTGTGGATGGGATGAAGCGGACCTTTCTGTTGGGGAAGTCGATGTGGACTTTGACTTTGCCCTCCGCCTCCATGTCTATCTGCCGCGCCTCCCTGTCCACCTCCACATCGCTGTAGTTCTCCCGCACGTAACACTCCACCACATCGAATATGCGGCCCTCGTCGTCGCCGCCCCTCTCCGCCCACTGCAGGGCCTGGTGGGGCGTCGGCTTCTTGATGAGCTCCAGTGCCGTGAACGAGATGGAATCCGCAACCAGATCGTTCAGCGGAGACCCCTGTACCATAGACACGCATACACACCAGGCATACACATGGCGTGTCGGCTGCCATCCATCCATCCATCCATCCATCTATTCCGCCCCCATACCTACCTTCCATCTCAGTTCGAGCGTCTTCTTTGCAGTGTCGACTCTCGCCCGCACCGCGCCATTGACCAGCAGCTCCCTCACGTCCTTATCCACAGTCACGTCAATGTCCTCATAAAGGTCCCTCAAGGCGCCCTCGAGCAGCTCACCAGACAGTGGGAAGTCCACCCGCAAGACCTCCTCCAAAGACGACACCTTAACGTCGCTGTAGAGTGCCAACTCGTCCGGGTGCACCAGCAGCGGCTCCTGCTTCTTGTCGACCACCAGCACACCCTCCACATGAGCTGATGGTGCCGCTGCTGCTGGTGCCGGCTGCTGTCCATTGGTCATGGGCTGCAGCCTCTTACTGGGCGGCTCTGCGGTGGCGTCTTCCAGCTGTTGTGCCAGCTTGCCGACGACCAGGGCCTGCCTGTCACGGGGGAACTCCAGGTCGACCTTCTGCACCAAGTCTGGCGTCATCACCGTCAGGGAGGGATGCAACTCCTGCATGCCAGAAATCAATCAGGGAGGGAGGGAGGAACGACAAGAGGGGAATGAAGATTGTGTTATGGACTGTTTGCTCTTCCGTGTGTCGCCCCTCTCTCACTTGCAGTTTGTTCCTGAGCCTGGCCATGGCGTCCTTCTCTCCGTGCACGAGCACCACGTTTGGGGTCTTGAGCTGCTCCACAAACTCACGAGTCTGCTCGAAGTCGGCGTGGGCAGAGAAGGATATGAACTCCACCGAACAGCTCACCTGCACACACAGCAAACGGACATCCGTGAACTGACACGTGTGCAACTTCAAGCATGCCTTACTTGGACGCTTTTGTCTTGGCTCTGTATCTCGACAGGCTCTGACTTGAGCTGTGAGCCGAGGGTGCCCTTGACGGAATACCCGGTCATGATCACACCATTCCGCCTGAAGCAACACATAACCCACATTCGTGCATTCACGACGCGCTCGTCAGACCGGCGTTCGTTGTGTGTGTGTGTCGACACGCCCTCACTTGTCGGGTGCCCATGCTTCGAAGAGGTCTCGCGACAGTCCGCTCTGCAGCATCCCTGGGGCGGCCATCACCACACACGGCACACCTGCCGAACAACACACACAGCATCACATGCGAATAGGCCGGTGACTTTGTGTTTCTTGTGTGGCGTACCTGGCTGGTAGACCCAGTCTCTGTATCCCTCGGTGATGCGCTGGATGGTCTTGACGTACTTGAACTCAAACGGATTCACACCCTGGTCCGCTACCTGGTGAGATCGAAACGGACACATCAGTGGCTGTGTCGCATTAATCCATCGCCCACTCCCCGCTCACCTGCCTGACAGGCTCGCCGCAGAAGTTGATGAAGGTCTCGAAGACCTTCATGCACTTGAACACTATCGGCGACGCATACAAGATCTGCACCTGACCACACACACACGCACACACGCAGAGAGATCCAGACGAGCCAGTACATCTGTCATCCACGCAGCTGCCCCTTACTTGGTCCTTGAGGTCAGGATTGGCGTCCCAGTACTCGTCCAACATCAGCAGCAGCTCCTGTGCGCGGCCGAGGGCAAAGACCGGCAGGAGGCACTTGCCGCCGCGCCGCACAATCGAGTGGACGGCCTTGAGGAACCTCATCTCACGCTCCCTGCGCGGCTCGTGAATGGCGATGCCGTATGTAGACTCGCATATCAACACATTCACCTGACAACACACACACACACGGACGCACAGGTGACTGATTGCCACGAGTCAGCGTGGTCCATGAGTGGCCCTTAGCTGACATGGAGGGGCGGCAGCTCTGCCCGGGGCATGTGCCGGTCTTCCTCCCTAGAGTAGTCACCCGTGTAGAGCACCCGCACGCCAGCGATCTCCACCAAGAACATACAGGCGCCCAGTACGTGGCCCGCTCCAAAGGCAGTGAATCTGATGCCCTTGTGTTCCATCTGCTGGTGGAAGTCCATCGTGTAGCACTGCTCCATTGCGGCCGTGATGTCCTCCTCGCTGAAGAGGCCGGACCTGTTGCCCTCTCCCGAGCTCATGGCGTACCGCGACACCCGTGAGTAGTCCTGCCAGATGAGCTGGCAGATGGCCTTGGTGGGCTGGGTCATGTAGATGCGGCCGTTGAAGGACGTCTGGGTGAGGAGATAGGGCACCGCGCCCGCATGGTCCACGTGGAAGTGCGTCACCAGGCAGAGATCAACCGACGACAGATCCACGTTGTCGAACAGCGGGAGGGCAGATATGCCGGTGTGTGCCGGGTGCAGGCCGCAGTCGAGCAGCACCGTGCGGCCCTTGAACTTGAGGAAGATGCATGACCTCCCGACTTCGCATCCGGCACCGAGAGGGATCACCTGCAGGATGTCGTCGTCGAAATCGTAATGGTGGCGCTTCGACATAATCACAGACGAGTCAGAATCCGGACTGATCCAACATTACGAACAACCGCATGCTGCCTCGCCACCAATACAGCAATCGAAATATAACGGCAGCGGAAAACTCAGCAACACAGCACTGCTAGGCGAGTTGTCCCGCAATTGATGCGAGCTCAGTTTTTTGGCCCACTGTTGCCCACTGGGCGTCTCAAGCATCTCTTTTGCTCACCGAAGAGATGACGCAAGCAATGATCTCCCTCGGCGAGAATTGGAGACGGGACGAGAAATTCAAAAATTCGCGACAAGAATTTATCCCACTTTCACAGTTTTCGTTCGCACTCGGCTTCTCAGTCTTCTTGCGGCCACAGATGCCCCGCTTCTTTTTGTTTTCATCTTCTTTTTGGCTCGTGTGGTCCGCCCCATCCCCTTCCACCCCTCCAACTCGTCCGGATGAAAACCGCCACTTTTTTCCTCCACCGCCATGCCACGAGGGAGGCGGCCTCAGGCGGTGCCGCCCTGCCGTCTGCTGAACAGCTGGCGACTCCCTGACACCTGCCTGGCGTCAGCTGACTGCGACGACGCCTTCTTTGGTCTTCAAAACATCCTCTCAGGTGAGTGCACGTCTCATTGTCTCTGTGTTGGGTGGTGACGGTATGGCATGTGCATGATGTTCAAGGGTGACTGCACAGTCCGTTTCATTCCTGTGGTGGTCTCACTGTGCCCTGTCGGCATGCTTGTGTGCAGATGATGGAATTTTGGTTCTTTCTCCTCATGGCCGTCTCTTTTTCCCGACGGAGTCCTCAACAAGTGAGTTCATGTGTGTGGTGACGTGGTGTGGTGCGCTTGTGTGCGGTGATGCGAATGACGCCTGCACATGAAATTAGGAGCCCGTCGCCTTAGGCACACCTCACATTTGTTGGTGACTTGGCGATGGACTTGATGAGTGGTTGTCGCCTGCGGCGATGGCGGTGTGGTATATGGATGGTGTGATCACGTCCTTTCCTTTTGGCCAATTCTGTCTGCAGATGATGAAACTTTGGTTCTTCCTCTTAATGGCCGTCTCCTTATCTCGACGGAGTCCTCAACAGGTGAATGAAGTATTCTAGCTAGTCAAAGAATCAGGTGTTGATAGTGCACTAACTTTGCCTTTGCTGCTTCACAGACAACTCTTTTCCATTTCAGGAAAAAAGGTGTGGCGGACGCGGGCTGGTTCGACAAGGCGAGGAAAAATGGTCAAGACACACGCCCAGGAGGCCGCATCCCCCAGAACGCCCATCACTATCGTGAGCAAGCCGCCCATCAAGAAGGCGAAGCCCAAACCGAAGGCCAAGGCCAAGGAAAAGGGTGCGGACGGCTGCACAGCACGCGCACATGCAGTACATACTGTGCACAGACAGACAGACAGACAGACAGACGCACGTAGATCTCTTGGTATCGCTGCATGCCGCGGCGAAGTGATGACTGACGCCTCCGCCTGTGTCTCTGTGCGTGTGGCGTGTCTGTGTGCAGGCAAGGGGAAGAAATGAAGCCCCCACTATCCAGCCCCTGCCCTTTCATCCCCCCCCCGACACATGCATTGCCTGCGGCGGCGACTACGTCGACAAGACCCCCGAACTACACCCACAGACGACTACGGACTGATGACCAACGAGGGGGACCACTTCACGTCACTGATCTCCGGACATGGCTACTACTAGGACTGACTGGGCCAGGCGGCGAGGCCCGCGACCCCCACCACGCAAGACATACCAACCTTCTGCAGCCCCACTACAGTATGTATACCCATGAAACAGTTTTCAGCGACTATTTCACGAGTTCTGTGGTCTGCAATTTCGCAAGTTCTGTGGTGTGCTCTTGTCGCTTATCGACTATGATGAAGGAGCCGGACTGCGAGGACTGGTCGATACAACGCACATACTCGAATGGTGAGCAGCAGGTCTTCCAGGAGGTGGTGCGAGGGGCGTGGAGGCAGCGCAGCGAGGCCGTGAGGGATTCGGTGAAGGGCTCCTTGCATGGTGGTGGAGGGCTGCATGGGAGGGCGTGTCTGTGGGCGCCGGAAAGGCACCTGGGCGTCGCAGCGAGGCAGTCAGGCGGGCTCCCACGTGATGCATGCTGAGATGAAGATGAGCCCAATGAGAGCCATCTGATGCTCACCTGCCGTGTCTCTCTGCTGTGCTGTATCCTGGTGCGTGCAGGTACGGCGAGAGCGATGCTGCTGGGTCTGCGCAACCACAGCGACGCCCTGACCAACGCCATGCTGGAGTTCTACCGCGCCTCGAGGAAGCGGTTCACTGTGGACATCCTCACCGACGAGATCAAGCGGCTGTGCAGACTGCGACACCTCCAGTGCACTGACAAGTTCCTCGAGAAAGTCCTGCAGGTACGTTGTCCACACACACACACACACACACGCACCGTACCCATCTTTACCTGTGTGTCTGTGTGCGCGCGCGCGCGTGTGTGTGTGCGTGTGTGTGTGTGTAGGTCGTTGCAGTCGCGGGACTTCGAGCAGATCGTGACTGACGAGGCGGCCTTGATGGAGAGGGAGATACCCGGAAATGTGCGGCCCAAGCAGGCCATGGTACAGCAATGTATAGAGTCAAATATTTCTTCGGGCCGGCAGAGCTGCTGCTTCTGCGCAAGATGCAGCGTGCTTCAGCTGCAGCTCTGCCGGCAGACGTGTCGGAGGAGGGCGGCGAGGACCACCCCTCCAAAGCCCACCCGCTGCCGCCGCCGCCACCGCCAGCGGGAGAGGACATCTCTGCCTACATTTCATATCAGCGTATCTCTCTCTCTCCTTTCATTCGACCGACGCCAGGGAAGAGATGACCTGATCGTTGCTTACATTTTATATACCGGTGTCATTTAAATGCGAATCGAGGGACATCACCAGGTACACATACACACCCGTATACACACACACACACACCGTACACATCTTTGCCTGTGTGTGTGTGTGTGTGTGTGTGTGTAGTAGGTCGTTGCAGTCGGAGGCCTTCTGAGCAGATCGTGGGTCGCAAGGCGGCCTTGATGGGGAGGAAAACCCCCAACCTGAAGACCCAGATCAGCCAGAAGGACCGGTACGCCTGACGGGCTGTGGGTACTCATCTGAGTTTTCCCATGTCTGCTGTGACTCTCAGGAGAGCACACGCCTGCTGAAGGACAAGAAGGAGGCCCTCTTGGTGTGCAGATCGGTGTCTACATTTTATATTCGATCGACTCATGACGTCCCTTCCACCGCACCGCCTTTCCACTCCAATGATCTGCAAAGGGCCTGTGAGCTGTCGAAAGATACTGATTGACTCTACTGCACGTGTCTCGCGTCTGTGTGTGCAGATCTGTCGCCGTTTGCATGTCGGCCGCCTGCTGACACTCGGCCCACGACCCTCCCCCGCGGCGACGTAGTGCCGCCCGAGGAGAAGGAGCGGATCATGAAGTTGGTGCAGGACATCAGCAAGAAGCTCAAGGAGCTGCTCCCGCCCACCACTGCCGAGACGCAGCAGCTCACCCCTCAGTACCTCTACAAGGAGATCCGGGTGGCCGACAACCCCGACGTGGCTGCAGAGGTGCCCCAAGTGATGCGCCAGATCATCGTCAGGCACAACCTCTTGGCGCAGAGGCTGGGCCAGCCGCTCATTGAGGGCTACGAGGGGCTGCTGAGTGAGCTCGAGGCGCAGACGGACGGCTCGTCGCGGCCACCCAAGCACCACCACCAGCACCAGCAGCAGGGGACATCTGTGCACGACCGGCTCTTGGGGCCCCGGGCAGCGCAGCAGCGCTCGGGTGGCTGGTGGCTGGCAGTCGATGCTGCTGTACGCCTCAAGGCCGACAACGAGCCATCCCAGCTTAAGGGCAGCCGTCGGCGGTTCACATACATGCAGCCCCGCGAGCACCTGGACAACTATTTGGACGACAAGCAGCGCAAGGTCGACGATCGTGAGCCCGACCTGGTGGTCCTTGTCATGCTGCCGCCCGTCATGCAGCCCGAGCCATTCACCGTAAGCGAGCTGGCACCACACACACACACACACACACACACACAGGGAGAGAGAGACAAACAACCAACCAGCCACATAGTGTGTGGTCTTCACCGTTTGTCTGCATCTCCCTTATCAGAATGTCTATGCGGACATTTTCGGTGACGTCGACGAGAAGCCCAACGAGGAGGACGCGCCGGCCGATGCAGCCGACCAGCAGCCTGGCCAGGACCAGGAGGACCAGGACGAGATGCCGGGCATGGAAGAGGAGGAGGGCGACGAGAGGGACGACTCCACGGCCGTCCCTGAGGCCGCCGACGCCAGCAGCGACGAGGCCGGGGGCGCCATCGACACCCCACACAGCAACCACCACCACCACCACCACCAGCCGACAGGCAGCACAGCCCCGCCGAAAAGCCGTGACCAGCGGCGAAAGGAGAGGAGAGAGCGGAGGAGGGCGGAGGAGGAGAGGCTGGGGAGCGAAAAGAGGACGGCCAAAAACGCCGCTAGGCGGGAGCGCCGACGCAAGGCCGCCAGGCACCCCAGCCCGCCCGCCCGAGCCCTCCGCTCGTGCATGCGGCAGGGCCCCACTGGTCGCAAGACAGTGGGGTTCCGGCCGCTGCTCGAGTGGACCAAGTACTTTGCGAGGGAGGAGCCGCCGACAGCCATAAAGGTCGGTCCATGCACCTACGCGCACAGACGATTCATTCCACCACACATGAATGGGTTTGTGCGGTTCGTGTCTGTCTGCGTCCCATGATGCAGGACCTGCAAGTGGAGGTGACGGGACCATCACCCCCCCCAGCAGCTGCGGCGAAGCTCCCGCATGAGGGATTCGACCCCCCATCCACGCCCACGCGCGCCCACTCCCCCACCCTCTGCCAGGAGGAGGTCGCCGTCGCCTGCAGCACCCCCGACGCCCGACGGATGAAGAACACCACACGCGGCACCCATCTCGCATCCATCCGACCAACCAGGCAGCCAGCAATAGATAAAACAGCCAAGGTAGATAAAGGAGCAGTATCCTTTTCTTCTACCATCTCCTTCTGCCATGTGTAGGCCCCCGCCCTGCCGGCGAAGAGGATCGAGTCATATCTCTGCCTACATTTTATATTGGTGTGTCTTTGCCGCCCCAGCACTTCGCTGCAGCAGCTTGCTGTGTTCATCGATAAGCAGCGACAAGGGGGCATTCAGAAGAGTCTGGACCGACTGTCTGACCTGCTGTCCAAGAACCTGTCTGACCTGCTGTCCAAGATCCAGAAGGCCCTCGGCGACTACCTAGAGAAGCAGCGATCCAACTTCGCGAGATTCTACTTCGTCGGTACGTACGCAAGTCTGCGAGACACCCACCCCCCCCCTCCCAATAAGTGCGTGTGTGGGGTGTGTGTGTGTGTGTGGGTTCCTTCCTTCGTTCCTCCATCCAGGCGACGCCGATTTGGTGGAGATGATCTTCAACTCGCGTGACGTCAAGATGGTGCAGCGGCACCTGAACAAGATGTTTGCCGGCATCACCGCCCTCGAAGTCGACACCGAAGACCCGGACCAAATCGTCGGCATGAGGTACGGTGCCCCAGACCAGACCACCCCACGCCAGCCAGCCAGCCAACACCACCCAAGCCAACACACACGTGACGTGGCCGTACGTATCGATGTCGATCCATGTCAGTTGTCGCGAGGACGAGGTGGTGCACTTCAAGTCTGCTGTCAAGATCTCTGACGACCCCGAACTCAGCGCCTGGCTCTCGCGCGTCGAGCAGGCCATGCAGAACACCCTGGCCGCCCTCCTCGAGGAAGTCGACACCGGAGACGCCGAGGTACTGACTGTACTTGGCCGGCCGGCCGCACAACCCCCCTAAACACACACACCTGTCTGTCTGTCTGTCTGTCTGTACTGTATGTGTGTGTGCAGTCGACAAGAAGACATCCCCGGCTGGCCGCAAGAGCATCGACAAGAAGACACCCTCGGCCAGCACGGGCCTGATGGGCGGCCTGCTGTTCGGCAAGCGCAAGCACGCCTCGCAAGAGGACGCCAAGGCACCCGGTGCCACGATGCAGGAGGAGGACCACGGCAACCGACATTATGGGCTGCACGACCACATCCACATGAGCGAGGCGGGCCGCATGTCCATCCAGCAGCACGGAGAGCAGCAGCATCAGGTAGAGCAGCAGCGGACGACAAGCAGGAGGAGCCGGCCCCCAAGGTACAGCTCGAGGGCGGCACACACCGGGGTGAGGGGGGCGCAATGGATGCAGCAGCACCTCCAGCAGGGGTAGATGGGGGCAGTGGTGGCGGCAAGGCGCCCCGCAAGCGGAAGAGCAGGAACCAGCGGTGTCAGGAGAAGAGGGGACGGGAGAGGACATCTCTGCCTACATTTTATACCTGTGTGTCTCGTCCTTTCATTCGACAGACGCCAGGGAAGAGGTGACCTGATCAATCGTTGCTTACATTTTATATATTGGTGTTTTCTTCGAACCGATAGATGTCTCCGTGTCACACATGCCGTGCGTGTGTCGTGCGTGTATGGGAATGTTTGAGTTGAGACTCATATCTGTCGCTGATCCTCTCAATGCTCGTTAAGTGCAGGCAATCGATCCTGTCACCCCCCGTACTGTCCGCTGCTTGCCTGCCTGTCTGTCTGTCTTACCCGCCCCGCCGATCACATCTATCCATCAACCTGTCCAGAGGCACCTACCCAGCCACCGACCTCCCTTACATTACTTCCCTGTATGAAAACTCACAGCAAACCGATCGATCCGCGGGCACATCCCTGTCTGTGTCACCATCCATCCATCCATCTATACCAGTAGTATTTGTGTACAGGCAGACACACGCGCATACCCCCGGCCAGCCACTCAGCGAAGGGATGGATACAATCGGGCGGCCATACACAGAGAAATCGGTGCTAGAAGAATGTCTGTGCACACAACACCACCACCACCACCACCATCACCACAGTCCTGCCGTCAGTACGCTGTCTTGTTCTTGCTGCTGCTGTCGTCCCGCTCGCCCTCCTGCTCTGACTTGTGCGTCACCGTCAGGTACTTGCGCGTCCACTTCTCGCTGTCCACTGGCACCGTCACGGGGCCATCGGCAGGAGCACTCACGCCTGCAATGGGGGAACGACAGCGTGTGTGTGTGGGGGGG